AGAGCTAGATCAACAACTCTCTGGCCAAAGGCTTGGTAGAATGCTGCTTGTCGAATTAGTCCCTGCTTTTCAGATGTATGAATCATTTTTTTCCCCTCTGAGAGTGAATGGGAAACAAAAAAGAGAGCTTGGCTTCCAGAGAAATCCACAAATATTTCTCAGAATTGGTGAGCAGGGACGGCTCCAGCAAAACAGCCCCTGGAAAATGGAAAGCCTTTGGACAGGCAATTAGCATTGCGTCCTCTCACATGGAGTCTGCCTTCCAGATACATCAGACTTGGCTCCTGCAAAAGCAAAGAGACCCCACCAAGAGTGATGCATGAAGAATACATTTGCTACTGTGTTCAGCCTGTATTTTTCTAGAATGAGTACACATGTGGAACTAAATGAAGAGACTCATTCCTAGTAGACTCAGAAGGCATATTTTGTGTTTTCTAGTGCCAAAACACACCAACGGATTAGGTGCTAGAATGGAAAATGAGTTCTCTCCATTTCCTGATTACTTTCACAGGCATTCTTATTATCTTTAACTTTCCTCTTATAAAACACACACAACACACACACACACACACACACACACACACACAGAGAGAGAGAGAGAGAGAGAGAGAGAGAGAGAGAGAGAGAGAGAGAGAACTTAGGGAAAATTACTAGGATTTTTTTTTTTTTTATTTTATACCTTGTGCTAACCTTCCTTTCTTGGTTTTCACAAGAAGACTTGATGGCACAAATTATGTGGACCTCATTGCTGCAGGTTCCAAGAAATGACCAACCATGGTGGGCAGATGGAGTCTGGCAAGGACAAAATTGGCTGACAAGCTGGTGACTACCAGGAAAGCTATAACCCAGTAGAATCAAGATATCATGGGTTGTCATCAAGGAGTAAATAAGGCAATGATTCTCCTTTAAATGGACACAGGCTAGGAACCACACTCTCTGCTCATGAACGTGGCATGGCAGCACACTGGGTTTTAGTTTCAAAAAACACCAACTCCTACTTGCCAATACAAATACTTCAGTGACTCAAGGAGAGGGTGGGCCCGTTCTCTCCTCCTGATGGCCATCTAAGGCACAGATGCTTAGGTTAGCAGGGAAAAACCTGAGAAAACAAAATATGTATACAACCAACAGTAGTTAACACTCCATCTCTTGTTGGCAGCCATGGTAACCCACAGGTTACAGGGATATATAGGATTTGAGGCTTACTATTTTCTCCATTTCTATAAAGTTGAAGATGTCCTTTTGGAAGTGGCTCATCTTTCAGAGGTAGCATCCAAAAGCTGAACACACAACCACAATGAAGATGCCAATACTTAGTTCCTATATACCAGCTCTCTACCAACTACTGTGCTTTGAAAATTACAGATATCTATATTTTGTTATTAAAATGTTTATTATGTATAGTAAGTTATGATGGAAAAGACAAGGTAACTGCTCCTAATCAAAGAGCTATCTTTTTCCTAGAGGTCAGAACCTTGTAGAGCGGAATATATAAGCATGTTGTTGGCCAACCCTCAAAGCATCTTCCAGGGTACACAGTTTCTAAGGGGTTTCTGCTCACAATACTCTTCCCTATGGTGCATCTATCAGAGTCACCAAAAGCCATTATCTGCTAACACTAAGAAGGTAATTAAATAATTCTGATATTGGATAAGTTTGGACAATACATCAATGACTAGAGAATACAGAATTTTTATGTTCTAGATCATATTTTATCTTTTATTCCATATTTAAATATACATCTTTGTTTCAGTACTTTAATAATTACTAATTCCTATTTAGAATGGAAAATGAGTTTGCCATTTTCTAATTATGTTCACAAGTGTACCTATGGTAGAGGTTTTTTGTTTGTTTTGAGACAGTAAAGTACTGTATAGCACAGACCGGCTTCAAACTGTATATTCTCCTGTTTCATCCTCCACAGAGCTACAATTACAGGAATGTACTCTCAGGCCCACATTTTCTAAGTATTTGTGATTGTACTAAGATCATAAATAATAGGTAGGTTCTGGGAAAAATAAGATTCGTTGCTTATTCCCTTTGGAATTTAGAAGTTGCTTAAGAGGTAACATAATCACAAGCTAAATGCAACTATGAATTAAAAACAATTAAAAAACTCTTCAAAAACAGATAGATAGTAATTTCTGGGAAGTCTACAAAGGAATAAACCAGTAGCTGGTAAGCAGAAATAAACTACAAGCAAATGAGTTTGATGACAGTGACAGCTAAAATTCTTATTAATCTGTGCGTTGTTTTTTCTGAGGTACATCACGTTACCAGGATGGCCATGGCCAGGGCCATTGACAAGTATTTGTTGAGCATCACAGAAGACTTTGTATGTTAGAGGTAACACGAAGGTAGACAAATTTGGTTCTGGACCACAAGGAGTTATGAACTGGTAGATAAAAAGACACAAAGTCATCTAGCAGTAAGAGACTCCAGAGGAAGTAGAAACCAATCACTGAGGATCCAGGCAAAAGAAAGCCTGCTTCCTGACTGAGGAGAAGAGAAATTTTAAGGAAAGTTTTATAGAAAACTGCCACCTGAGATGAGCCTTAGCAGGTGGAAACAGTTCTAACAAGAAAAGCTTTTCAGAGCTGTTGAAGAATCAAACCTGCGAAGGTGGGCACGCTGATAATCCCCAAGTGCCGGGAGGCTGAGGCAGGAGGATCATGACTTCACTAACAGCTTATGTGACGCAGTGAGGCTCCATCAGAAAACAAATCAAAGTACCAAGGTTAATTTTTTAAAACTTGAATTTGACATTTTCCCCAAGTTTCAGGTCAGCTTCAGCCACCACAGGTATCTTGAGCTTGGACAAGGTCACCTAGTCCCAGTACTCCCTCTTAGACTTTTGTTCAGTGGCCTTCTTCATTTACATCATCTGACTGTGCTTATCTGAGTCCATGAAGCTTATTAAAGACGTTCCTGATTCGCACACACAGGAAGCCTGGGTGGCACTTTTGAGAGAACTTGGGAATCAATGGAGACTTGGTCAGAGGCATCAAGATTACAGTGGTACTTTGTGTCATCACCTCTGGTGGCACTGAGCATGGGTGATGGGAGGAAAGAGAATGCAAATAAGAAAGGAGACCCAGTCAGGGAATCACACAAACTAAAGATAAGACCAAGGAAGGCTTCAGCCATGTTCTGGAGACAGATGGAGGTCTGGATAAAGACACCATTCAAAGAAAAACTTGAAAAGTGACTGGACAATTTGGTAAGGGAAGAGGCAGGAGCTGTTATTTATCTATGTGGTGATGTCACCGAGATAGAAGAGAAAAGTGAAGAACCAGAATTAATAAGAAAGAGGATGAATCTGGTGTTGGGGATGAGTCTACATGATATGTAGGACAATGACATAGGACTGTCTGGAGAAGCTGAGATTTCAACAATTTGACCTCTACCCACCCCGTCATAGGAAACATCTAGAAGTATCTGAACATACCACAACTTGTCATAAGTGGGGTGGGTTATTATGAAGGTCTTGGCAGTAGCTTCCAGGAATGCTACCAAAATCCTACAATACATAAAACAGGTTCCAACACCCAAAAAGAATAGTCCTGGTTGCTAACTATAAAGAGGTTGAGAAATCCTATCCAGAAGGATTAAAAACTCCAATTCTGGTTTCTTTGTTTGTTGGCTTGTTTGTTTGTTTTTAGGTAGAAATGAATAAAGATAAAAACTTACAGTTATTCATAGTTCTGTGAGATACAATGGGGGAATTAACCACAACAGAAATACAAAAAAAAGGAAAAAAATTAAATGAGCGACTAAAGCCCAGGAAGCCTCACTTCATGGGCACTATGAGTTTTTGTAGGTGAGGCAAAGGCAGAGGTCTTTCATATTCAAAATGCAGTATTTGATGACTATTCTCAGCATTAAGAACCTAAGAAGAGAGATAAGGATAAGAAAGTCTTTCACCAAGCAGACCAGTTCAGTTATGAACATTTGGAAGCCTAAACACTAAAGACATGTCAGTCTTGATGTCAAAAAAAGTGGGGTGGATGATAAGACAAGAAAAAGGGAAAAAAATAAGGAAGAGGAGAGACAGGAAAGGGTAGAGACAGGTAAAAGTGGGCAGCGGATCTACTGTCACAAAGACCCCATCTACAGTCTGAATGCAGTAGAATTGTAGGCCAATCTCCATGTTTGGAGGAAACATTCTATGGGCAGCAGAATGTCCTTCTAGGGAAATATCATCATGGTTTCCTAAAAACTAAACTCACATATGATAAAGCAGAAACCAACAACTTGCACAGTTCTCTCTCACTGAAGTTTTGCTGTAACTCTGCTCCAGGAGTCTTGCTTGACAGGTGGAGAGACTCAGTGGCTTCTCTGGTAAAATGGGGATAAGAAGATGTCTGCCTCCTTGCCGTGCTGTGATGATTACATGAGGTAACTGGGAAATAAATCACTTAGCATAGCCACCATTTCAGGGCAGGAACTCCACTGGTGGCAGCTGTTTTAAACAATATCTAAATCCTATGACTCCATGATGGAAAAAAAGAAAAGCACCCAGGACCACAGTCCAAGGCAACCCAGCAGAATATGTTAAACAAGGTAGCTGAAAACTGAAATTAATTCCTAGAACTGCAAGTGGCCTTCAGAACACTCAGGTCAAATTTCCTCATTTTAATAATGGGAAAACTAGAGAAAAAAATTGAAAGGGCATTGTGATTTGTGTGTAAAGGTACCAAAATATTGTGTGAATTTCTTTTAAGGTAACAAAAGATAAAGGTAGAGTTGGAAACTTCCAGTTTGTAGTGACCTGTTTGTATTGGAAACACTAGAGTTATTCCGAGGCAATGGCAAGCAGTCAGCCAGCCTCAGCTTTCCAATAACGTGTCCAGTGTGCATCCCCTAGAGTTATGCATTCATAAAGTAAACGTAACTATATAATTTTTTGATGTTCCACGGAGTATGGAATCACGGGGCTTTGGAAATGAACTAGTGGTTATAACGGATCTGTTTCTCCAGGCCACAGCCTGGACACTCACCTGTCCAGGAGCAAATTAGGAGCAAACAGGAGCTTCCCTGGGTGTTCCATGGAGCGCCAGACGAGACCAATCATCAGGATCTCCAACCAGGCACACTCTAGGAGGTGGACCTGATCATGGAGATTTAAGTCCCCAAAGCCTGCAACACAATGAAAGCCCCGCTTAGTTCCCAGGGAATGTATTCATCACTGGTGAAGTGAATGTGACTTGGAATTTGAACTAGCAAGCTGTTTTTATTGGCAAATAGAATAAAGAAAATCAATGATGTGTGCCTTTATTTCTAATGGCTGAATAGAAGCTTAATACTTTTTTTTTTTTAACTGTAAAGGACAACGGGATAAATGCCTACACAGCACAAGGAGGAGGAAGGTGAGACAAATAGAGCTATACTTCATAGGAAAAGCAAGTATTTTTTTTTTAATCTAGCTCTGTTAATGAGTTTTCACTTGACTTTAAGGGATTTTTTTTAATGTCTCAATGTCATATCTGCAAAAATACATGAACTTATTATACAACCCACTTAGCTGTCTATAAAACTTGTACTTAGTAAATAAATTCTACTTAGGCATACCAAATAACTTTACATAGCTATTATTATTCATTTTTATTTAGTTTAAAAACACTTAAGTGCTATAAACTTAAATAATTTAACTAAGCAGAAATTGGGACACAGATAGGAGCAGAACCATCAGTTGTTTTGTTGTTTCTTCATTTTATTACTGAGCCATAATCTTTTTTTCATAAAATATAAAACAAAGACTAGTGAAATAACACATGCAAACAAATCATGCGGAGAATGAACCAGACGACTAAAACTAATGTTACAATTACTCCTTGGAGAAACCACTGATGTGTGCACTTGCTTTCCAGTGGTTGATTAAGAGATTAAAGGGTTTCTTTTTCCCTAACTGCTAATGACAGTAGATGCCTAAACATCACAAAGAGGAGGAGGTAGGAGATGAGACACATTTGGAAAAACAAGTGGGAAGGACACAATGGAGGGATGAAACAAGTTTTTAAGTTCCCACTGTGGATTAGGAGCAATGCTAAGTGCTTTCTGGAGCCAACTCTTTTCATCCTTATTCATAGAACAACCTGAACAGCTAGGAACTCATGTTCCCATTTCACTGATGCCCAGAGAGTTTATGTGTCTTTTTTTTTCATTCTTCTTTCATACAATACATCCTGACAAAAGCTTCCCCTCCTCCCTCCACTCCTCCCAGTCCCCTATCCCCAACTTCTGCTCTCCTCCAGATCCACTCCCCCCTGCTTCCTCCAGAAAAGAGCAGGCCTCCCAGGGATATCACCTGAACATGGTATGACAAAATACAATAATACCAGGCACAAACCCTCACATCAAGGCTGGGCGAGGCAACCCAGCAGAAGGGTCCCAAGAGCAGGCGAAGAGTCAGAGACACCCAACTCCCACTGCTAGGAATTCCACAAAAACTTCAAATAGAAATCTTCAGTGTTGGTGCTTTTTGAGCACTGGTGACACAACCTTTTCTGAGCTTTGCTGTAGAAGTTTGGACCAGGTGACTAAATAAGCCCAAGCACAGAGATACCACACTGACAAGATCATTAAGTGAGCAGTACTCGGGAAGTTCACCACTTCCAAACTCAGTGTCCTGCTCCTCACAAGGAGCCATCCCTTCACACTCTTCTTCCATTCCCTCCTCGTCTTCAACTGCTTGTTCTCACAGTCCAGGAGAATGGCTGGGGAAATCCTTTGTTTATGATACCATCTTCTTTTTTTTCCATTGGGGTTGCTGTCCTCGGCTAGAATCTATTCTTATTAACTGTGCTCATGTGGTTTTGTCAACTTGACACAATCTTAGACATATCTGGGAAGAGGGGATCTTAATTGAGAAAATGCCTCCAACCAAAGTATGTTGGGGCAAGCCTGGGTGCCATTTTCTTGCGTGATGACTGATGGGGGAGGATCCAGATCGCTGTGAGCAGTGCCATCCCTGGGCTGGTGGTCCTGGGTACTCTAAGAAAGCAGGCTGAGTGAGCCATGAGAAACAAGCCAGTAAGCAACACTCCTTTATGTCCTCTGCTTCAGTTCCTGCCTCCCAGTTCCTGTCCTGCTTGAGGTCCTGCCCTGACTTCCCTCAGTGATGGACTGTCACCCAGAAGTATGAGATGAAATTAAGTGTTTTTCCTCAAGCTGCTTTTGATGATGCTGTTAACAGCAATAAAAGCCCTAACTCTAAGACATTGTGTGTGTGTGTGTGTGTGTGTGTGTGTGTGTGTGTACTTGATAGGTATTTTCTTGGGCATCTTGGGAGTTATCCAAACCTCAGCACTAAGCCATTAGCTTGCGACTTCATATACATCACACATAATCCTGACTTACTTGGTGACAATTCACATAGAAACTTCAGCCACACACAGACCTCAGTGTCATACTCCCTCACTCCCTACCACTTCATTCTCAAACATTAAGACCTGAGAAGTCACAAAATATCTTCCTCTCCTTTCTCTTCCTGCCACTGACACACAGAGCAGCTCCTAATAGTCTCTTGCCCCCTCTCCAACTTCTTTTTTTTTTAAACTTTTTAAAAATAAATTTTATTTAAATTAGAAACAATCTTATTTTACATATCAATCCCGGCTCCCTCTCCTTTCCATCCTCCCATGCCCCCCACTGACTCCCCCATCCCATCCCCCATCCACTCCACAGGGAGCGTGAGGCCCTCCATGAGGGATCATCAAAATCTGGGGCAGGGCCTAGGCCCTCCCCTGTGTATCTAGGCTAGGAGAGTATCCCTCCATGGGGAATGGGATAACAAAGTCCATTTGTGCACTAGGGATACATTCTGGTTCCACTGACAGAGGCCCCATAGACTGCCCAGTCCTCCTAGCTGACACATACATTCGGGGGCCTGGTTTGGTCCTATGTTGGTTCCCCAGCTGTCAGGCTGTGGTCCATGAGCTCCCACTTGCTCAGGTCAGGTGTTTCTGTGGTCTTGACCTCTTTGTTCATCACTCCTCCCTCTCTACAACTGGATTCCAGGAGTTTGGCTCAGTGCTTACTCTGAATCTCTGCTTCTGCTTTCATCAGCTTCTTATTTAAGACTCATCTGTGACATATTGTTATGAGAATGGCTGTTCTTTTGTGGGTGTAGAATGCTATGCCATCACATGGATACACACCACAACTACATACAGATATACTTACTCTGAGCATTTGGATTATTCCCACCTTTTGGCTATTACTACTAAATCTGTCATAAGCAGTTTTTGAACAAGTCTTTGGATGGATGAGGGCTTTTTCTGCCCTTGAACAAATTTTTAAGAGCACCATGGTTGGAAGGAGCAGGCAATGGTTTGCAAAAGGAGTGTATCACTTTATACACCCACCAGCAGTCTTTCATGCCCCAGCTGCCATCTTTGCCACCACTCACTATGCCTTTTTAAATTTATAGTAACTTTTCCATTTGTTTATTTTTGCACTCAAACACAGGCACACTGATGCATGCATGAGAGTGTCACAGCACATGTATGGTGATCAAAGGACAATTTGTCAGTTTTCTTCTTCTACCATGTGGGTTCTTTTTGGGGAATCCAACTCAAGCTGACAAGCTTGGCAGTAGGCACCTGTACATGCTGAGCTACCTCACTCATCCAGTCATTTCCATTTTAAAGATGTCAGTGGAGGTACAAAGGCATCACACTGACATCGTTCTTATTTGCATTTCCCTACTGTAAAGTATCTTTTTCCAAATTTACCATCAGATCCTCTTGGTACAGTATATTCAGGTTAATTATATCTGCTCATCTAAGTCCTGCTAGATTGTGTATCTGCTAGAGACACAGACTACGCAATTTTTTTTATCCAATCCTGTTTTTAAAAATCTCTAATTCATTACACCTTTCACTACCATGTTGAGCCATTCCAGAGCCCATAACAGCATAGTCTGTATCAGAGTAGATATCTTTTCATTGGCAAGAGCAGATTCCATTCATGTGATTCAGGACTGGTAGCTACTAAAATGAAGAGGGTAGATTCGCTCTTAAGAAAAGTCTTAGAGATTGGGCTGCAGGATTTGGTTTGAGCCCTGCCTGGAGGAAAGGGAGCAGAGATTTCTGGCTGGTGTAACTGTCTAGAAAGTACTGGGTCAAAATGGACCAGCGTTGCTTGGGGAAAACAAGAGCATGTCACATTTCTCCATTCTTTCTTGTTCCCTAATCGTACAAACCAAACCCAGGCAGCAGAACATGAGGCGATAGCCTCAGAGAAGTTCCAATTCCTGAGTCTGTTTCTTGACTTGTTTGGATTATGTTTCATAAAACTAACATGGGCTTACCTGTAATTGAATTTACCCTCAGAGTTGTTAACATATTCTTTCTTTCCTTCTTTCTTTCTCTCTTTCTCTTAATTCTTACTTCTTGGGATATTTACTTTTTGGTGTGTGTACAAAAAGGCTGTCAACACATGTTATTTTCAGCCATGATTAAACTTAGGATAAATTATTCAAAAACTCTCAGAACTGCAGTGAGTCATGCAGCCAAACAACTGTGGGAAAGCAAATGCCTTTACACAAGATCGTATTCTTCAACTCTATAACTTCAAAATGACATTACTGCTTAGGCTTGGCAGTTACAGTGACTTCTAGGGAGTCAGAGAAGTTCCCCATAACCATATGTGCCATTTGAATAGGGTGATTATGACTATGTCTACTAGTAATATTTCGAGTCAGAGGCCAGCGGGATTTCTGGGTTTTCTGTGAAATGTAGACATATTTAATTCCATTTAATTACAGTTTCCAGCTGTGCACATAGCCTGCAGACAAGGACTATTATACCTGTTGCAAAGCGCTATCTGTGAGTTCTTCAGACAAGGTTGGGGGAACCTTGCCAAAGAGTCTGTCAGTTAACCTCCTCTACCAATGTGAGGACTGTCAAGGGAAGTTACTCCATGGAACCTCTCCTTCCTTCCAACATACTGGTCTCAATACTACTGTATTCACACAGGAGCTAAATACATTTCTGATGTGAGACAAATATTCATGAGTATCTTTAGCTCATAGCCAACACACACACATACACACACACACACACACACACACACACACACACACACACACATCCAATGATTTATAGACATCCTGTTTCAATTCTTGCTTCATTTCC